AGAATTCCCCAGCTGGCTGGGGAATTCTAGGAGTTGAAGGCCACACACCTTCAAGCTGCCAAGGTTGAGAAACACTGATCTAGTCCATTCCCCCCAAAAGCAGCTAATGCATCTGTTATTTCATTTTTTCATATTTTTTTTTAACACAGTGATTGATCCCTGTTGGATTTCCCCACCAAACATCCTGGAACCACTGCATTCACATAACACGCCCAGCCTGGTTCCTGAATGAATCTGTTTTCTGGCTTCACACAATACATGCATTGGTACCAATTGAACCTTTCCAATCACGTTCAAAGGCAGCCCCATGTATAGCACAGAATAAAGGTCAAGTGTAGAAGTGACCATGCCTTAATCACCAGAGCTGCTAAAAGACAGCTTTGGCTCCTGAAAGCGTTGTACCTCCCCAGGTAAGGTACCGGTTTGATTCTTCAGGAGTTCAGTGCCATCAAGGGCCAAATTTACCCTTCCACTCTGATTGGTCAACTTCAGCACCCACGTTATTTCACCTGATCTGGATTATGTTATTTTATTTTATATTTATTTATTTATACTTCGACTTTAGTCACTGCCCAACTCACTCAAGAGTGACCCTGGGTGGTTTACAATAAAAGAAGAATAAATATGAATTAAAATACAATTAAAATACAATAAAAAGCCATGTTCATAAATAAATAATGGCTTCCAAGATCCTGATGGTAAATAAAGGTTGCGGGAGCATCTTCAAGGTGCCAGCCACCTCCAGGGTTGGTTGCCCCTCTTTGCGTCCCACACAAGTTGGCAGAACCAGGTCTTCACCCCTTTCCAGAAGGTATGAGAGTTATAATTTATTCACCTTCACTTATCCCCAGATAAGCTCCAGAGGCCTGTTTGAGGGTTTTCTAATTTCTTTGGAATTTCTCTGCTGATAGAACTTGTCCTGCTCATCTAACTAACTTGAGAAGGCTGCTTACCAGACAAATGGAATCAACTATACGCTAACTAGTTGGGCTGGATTCACACCACACACTAAGGAGACAGAGGGAGAGACTTCCTCTAACCAAGGCAACAACACTAACCATGTTGTACAAACATGTCCACTGAGGACCCAGCTGCTGCCCACATGTTTTGGGACCTCTCCCTAGGGAGATCCAGTCTACCCCTTCCCTCCTGGGTTCAGAAGAGCAGTTAAGACCCAACTTCTTTCCCATCTAGACCAGGGGGTAGGCATGCTTTGAATGTGGGGATGTATTGCTAGACTCATGGCTTTGTTTTTTTTTAATCCCTTGAGATTTTAATTTAATTTTGGGGGGGGTGTTTATTTATTTTGATTGAGGGGTTCTGTTTGTGCTATTTTTGTAAGTTAGAGCCTTGGGAATGAGAAACACAGAAATATAGCTCATAAATAAACAAACATGGGGGGGAAATACTGATTATTGAGAGTATTTGTTTTTCTTTTTTCTACCGACAGATGTTCTCCAGCACTGCATTGGTTCCCTCTTACGAAAGAACCAGTCAAGAATCAAGGACATTTTCTTTTCTTTATAAAAGGACTGTCTTGAAACTGAAGCTCCCTTCAGAACTTGCCTAGCGTTTTTCAAAATGCCCCAAAAGACATCTCTTCTTTGCTCCAACAAATGCAGGGAAGGAAAACAGAATTTCCAACAGCATCTTCAGACTTTTTCTCTTGGTTTATTTCAACTGTACTGACACCTTTCTGAGTTTTACATCTTATTTTCGGGGGTTGCTTTGATTTTGACTCTTTTTTTTTCTTTTTTCAGAGGGGCTGTACAATCTGGAGTCCTTGTAAAATATCCAAAGATTCTATTGACTGTATCATCCACAAGAACTTGAAGCAAAAAAGACCCCTTTGCTTTACCCATTTGGTTACACTTCCTGAATGTTGGAATGGGGATGTGGTAGAAAGGGCGGGGAATCCTTTGAAATTTTTCTATTTATAACTATTTTTATGTGATTGCTTTATGTAAAGAAAAAAATAATACATCAGACAGATTTGCCTTAGATAATCAAGGGACAATCATCCTTAACTTTGGCTGAAGTTCTAGATTTGTGTTTCTAAAAGACAAGTATATATACTTTATGTATTTATTAAGCATTTATTAACTGATTTTATTAAATTATTGGCCGAACGCAGGATCTTTTGTATGCCTGTTAGTCAAGCATGGGGAAGATAAAGCTCATACATTCTTGGGCAGCAAAGTTGTAAGTATGCTTGTCACGTTCCTGCTTTCTGTCATCATGCAGACACTTAGAAACCTCTTAAAATGGACACCTACAGAATGTGATGTGTGAAGGGGTACCAACAATGTTCCAAATTTAATCCCACACACTTGACCAGATCTGGGCCATTCTGTTTGAGTGAGGGTCCTTTTCAAAGGCCTTTACTTTTGGACTTTGCCCCCTGCTCCTTTGCACAGTCAGAGGGAAACAAGGGGGGTTGATCGTGTCCCTGCAGTTAAGGAGTTAAGGTTGATTGCCCCTGGATCATCTCCTTTTGGGTCACCTGTTAACTGGCTCCTGGATGGGTTCATGTTTTAGTTTTGGTTTCTTTTTTTCTGGTGGAAAGAACATTACAGACTTTTATTAATGCTCTCGCTGTTTCTGGATATTTAATACATGGCCACGGTGCCAGACCCCGGGATCATATTGTTACAGCTGTTTGATTGCAGGGGAGGGGCGTTCACCATTTTGGGTTGTCCTGTCTGTAGCTGGTTTCTCCTGGGACCAAGTCTTTGTCTGTTTTTCCATGGCATCTAGTATCAAGATTCCTGCAAAGTTCTGCTCTGGTTCCTTTCATATTTTCAATGCACATTTCTGAGCCCTCTGGTTAAGAAGACACATGTGAAACCTTCAGCCTGGCCAACCTTTCACTTTGACCTTGCAGAAGCAGTGCTCTGTTGGTGCTGGAATTGTGAGCAATGGGTTGGAGGAACCCATTGTTAACACAGACTTAGCCAACTTGTGTTTCTGAACTTGTGCATCTGGAGTATGTAACTTTTCTTGGGCCAGAAGCCACGCTTTATCACTAAATGGTGTTCTGGGGAGCATGTTTCAAAAGTGGATATACTCAGGTCAAAGGGGTGGGTGAGATCCAAGGAGGAGGGGAATGAGTTTAATTGAATATAGTAAACATGCAGTTATTGCTCCTGATGTGTTGAAGACTTTTCCCCTTCTCTGACATTAAAATTACAGTTCAGCAGCAACTTTTCAAAGGCTTTTGGGAGCTATGCCCTAGGCTTGTTGGGGGGTGGGGGGGGAAGTACATGTAGCTTTGCCCACAAGCTGTCCACCCTCTGCTATTCATAAACCAGGCTGTGGTTCTTCTGTGCCTGAATGCAGAAATATTTCTGAATTGGCAGATGCAAGTCACAACTCAAAAATGTAGATAGGAGGGAGGAAGATTCACCAAAATGTGTTCATTAGAAATATTTGTGCATGGCAAACTGATGTGGAAATAAGATGGAACGCATGTGAGAACCTAGCCAAAGCGTGAGAGTTCGGGCCATCTCTCCTTCAGAGAAGGCTTATCCCAAAGACTTCCCTGTTTCCTTTAGCTGCTCTGCAACACAGACAGACAGAACCTCTGCAGAATTTTGCTACCTTCCTCACCTGTGCAAAAGGACCTCAGAGCTTTGAGGACGTGGCAGGTACATTTGGGATTCCAATGTACATCTGATGCATCTTTAGCTCTCTTAATCCACTCAAGTGCTTTTTGGATTGCAGACCATTCTGGCTCCTGAGTAGGCTAACGTGGTAGCAACTGTAATCCTTTTGTTCAGTCGCATTTTTCCCCAATTCCCACTCTCGTTCCAGACAAAACAGAGCCAAGATGATATAGTGGTGAAGGTGCTGGACTAGGAGAGGGGAGACCCAGGTTTGAGCCCCCATCCCACCCCTCAGCTATAGAAGCTGCCTGGGGGACTTTGGGCCAGTCCTTCCCTCTCAGCCCAAGACCCAGGGTGCTGGTTTAGGGGAGAAGATGCTGGACTAGGAGTGGGGAGACCCAGGTTCGAGTCCCTCCTCAGCCATGGAAGCTCTCTGGGGGACTTTGGGCCTGCCATTCTCCCTTAGCTCAATCTACCTCACAGGGTTGTTGTAAGATAAATTGGAGGAGGGAGTACTTTATATGCTGCCTTGAACTTCTGGAGGAAAGGTAAGATATAAATCTTACAAACAAAAAACACTGCTGCCAATGAATGCCAAAAGTCAATGAAAATGACTGGACAGATTATTGTCCTTTGTTAAAGACAAGCTCAGCAGCTGTCTCCTTTTTCAGGGGGTGGACATAACGGGGAGCTGGAAAGATGGTTCCCAACCATACCTCCCCCAAGTTTAGGGCTAGGCGTATAGGCCCAGTGGCTTCCAAATCAAGACCTGATGAATTTTGGTTTCCAGCCACTTCGAAGTGGGAAAAACGTTTTACAATAAGCTTACCAGTTTATTTTTTTCAAATGGCAAAGAATGAACTACAGCCTTCCCCACTCCCCGCAGAGGATTCCTACCCAGAATCCAAACCCTGCCTGTGTGAATCATGTACCCCAACTTCTTTGTGTCCTTGCTTGCCCAAGCAGGCCCTCACCCCTCCACACACACCAAATCTTGTTCTAGGTAAGGGTGTGCAACATCCAAAATCAGCCTGTTTAAGTTTTCTGCCTGGCTTGAGAGTGGGATTAAGGGATTCTGAAATTGATGAGATGAGCTGTCAACTCTCTGAAATGGGCACGAGAGAGCAAGCAATGAGACAAGAGGAGGTGATGGAGCAGACACCCTGATCTTTGCTTCCCTGGAAGGACTATCTGTGTGAACGTGTATGTGTGTGCACGCACACCCTTCAGTCAGTCTTGATTCCTGGCAACAGCCTGGACAGGTCCTGACCACATTTGCAGACGTGCTTTGCCCTGGCCTTCTCCTACCTGGGGCTGAGAGAATGCGACTGGCCCAAGGTCACCCAGCTGGCTTCCCATCTAAGGCAGGACCAGAACTCTCAGTCTTAGTGGGCAGGAAAGAGCTGGCTCCTCCTCTAAAAACATCTCCACAGACATGGAAGAATGATATCTTTTTGCAGAAAGAAAACTCGACCTTCAAACACCCACAGCAACATCTGGAGCTTGCAATACTGTTGATCACCATGTTATGGAGGTTTTAGCAGCTTGTCCTTCTCCCTCGTTTCCAAGGCAGGTGTCATGTGTTCATGTTCTAAGCGTTATGGGTGCTGTGTTATTTTGCATGTGAATTTGGGGACACTGCCACCATTGTACCCCAGACACAAAGGGATTAGTGTAGCTCCTGACCTGATTATCCCCCTGCAGGGGAGAGCTGTCTTTAATTGAAATTGGTGGCACGTGAATAAGGATTTGATGGGCCCCAGTCCTTTCTAGGAGGAAGAGGATAACGTGAGTGGATCCGGCAGGAATATTTGATGGGTGAAAACAGACGTTACTTGGCCTCTGGGGACACATCAGTTCTGTAAACTTGTTTTAGGAGCACATCCTCCAACAGTTTTCCAGGGGGTAGCCTGCAGAGAGGTAAAGACGTCCTTGAGTTGAGCTCAGCTCAGTTCCTAGTGAATATGTGGATCACTCTGCAGTTTTCTTGGCAACAGAAAACTTGACATCTTTGGTGCTGGATGGGGTGGCACTGCCCCAGACAGACCCAGTGCGTAATCTGGGGGTCCTCCTAGACCCACAGCTACGGCTTAAAGAGCAGGTGGCAGCCGTGGCAAGGAGGGCCTTTGCACAACTTTGGGTTGTGCATCAGTTACGCTCTTTCCTGGATCGGGA